TAAAAAAATTAGAATATCAGATATGCTTTCAGCACTGGACTTAACTTTATATTTACTAGACTATTTTACTTCATTGTAAGGCAAAATTTCACTTACAAATTTTGTTCAGTAGAGATGCAAATAATTTATGCCCTGTGGAACTAGTAGGCCCAAAATTTACAGTTTATGATCCTGTTAAACATAAACTAGTTTTTATACAGCTTGTAACCCAGCAAGCTATATATATTATATATCTGGCTTCTCAAATGCTCTTTGGGATGGTTTTAAGTCTTATTGTTTTCCCATTAACTAATGAGTTCAATAAAATCTTTGAAACATATTTATTTACTATTTGTATGAGACATGATTTTACCTTTTTGAAAATATACTTTAGCAGGCAACTCAATTTTGCTTCCAAGGGTTTGGTTTCCTTATCTGTAAAAGATGCATTAGGACTAGAGGGTCCCCAAGAGCCCACTCTAAGGGTCTGAGCCATTAAGCCACCTGAGACTCCTTCTACCCCCACATCCCAGGGTCTTCAGGGAAAAGGCCATCCTAACTCTCTGGAGCTGAGGATTAGTGACTGCCAGTGCTGCTTCCTGCACAACAGGCCCCCAAATGGCTGGTCAAGTCACATTAGAACACTGTAGGCCTTCATCAACTCCAAGATTGCTGGGAAATTCCCAGGAGCCAGAATACATTGTTTTGCCCCACTTACTCCCATTCTTCTGTCTCTCACCCCTCTGGACCTCTCCTTACTTCCCATTATAAACTTGAAAAATCCCTGGTTCCATATTCACAGCTTTTAGTTTAATGCAGAGGCTAAGGCATCACCCCTGAGTGTTCACCTCTTTGATGTCCTTAAGAGGAAATTATCAGTGCCTTTTGGCCTCAGCTGAGGCAGCAGGGGTCAAAAGTGACTCTTCTCACTCCTGCTAAAGGGGGTGGGTCAGGATCCTGCTCTAAAATCGCTTCTGGCTCTGACATCTGATGAATCTGTCCTTCCAAACCCCCAGAGGCTTTTCTCTCTCTGCCCTTTTGGCCCGAGGATGTTTAGAGGGCATCATCCTCTAGGATGAAAATGCCTTGAATTCACTGGGGGTGAGGATGTGACAGGTAAATGAGGCAGTGAGCATGAAAGGCAGCTCAGAAAAGGCCAGAGATTGCATTTAGCACTCCTTGAAATCCATGACTCTTGGCCCTTGGCTACAATCAATGATCAACACATGGAAAAAACCTTTTCCATTTCAAGGGATGACTGATTTTGTTAACAGCAGCATTTGCTAAGCCTTCTCAGGTCAGAACTGTTTGCCTGAGAATTATCTCAGTGCTTACAGTGTTTATAAAATAAATTTGTTTCTGTTCCTGATCCCAGCCTGGCTGCCTGGACTGAGGTAATACCCATTCATGGTTGGTGGGGTTCTGCTGAATTTGTCTCCTCATCTTTCTTCCCTCCAGTGATATCCCAATCTATTATTTCAGGAGCCAAATTAATTCCCTAGCATAAGGACGGAGTGATGCTTCCCAGGCTGCCATCCCGGCTCTCACTACTCCTGCACTATGCAGTTGGTTGGGGATGGTGGGGGCAGTTAGCAATTAAGCCCAACAAATGTCCAATAAATAAAATAATATTTATTGGGCACTGAGCAGTTACACAAGGTGCCATAGAAACAAAATACCCAAATACTTGGATGTAAATATTCTGGAAACCTAAATTGAACTCAACCAATCAGTGATGTACCTATTTGACACACTAAATGTCAAATAGGTACATTTTTTTAACACCTCCCTCCAGTACACTACAGAAAGCTTGGGGATCCTCTGTTACAATGTAAAGACAGGTGCCTCCAAAAATGTTGCGGCTATTTGTTTCTCTGCAAAGGAAAGAGGCTGAGGCCAACTCCAAACAGATTCCATAGACCTTTACAGACCCCTGAGCGTCTGGGACACAGCTCTGCCCAGGCGCACATCCCGGGCCAGAGAAAGGAGTCAAGGGAGATGGGCAGCCAGCTAGGGAAAGACTAGTCCCTCATCCCTGGCCAGTCTTGGAATTCCTTGGAGTAATTGAATTTCAAGGCTGGGGATCTGTCCACAGTGTGATTTATTGGTTAGAATAATGCTTGTATACATATTATTAAAACTCAACAGTAAACGGTAACTGTAGCAATTGTTTAGAATTTAGACCAACGAAATGTTATTTGGGGGAAATAATTCATCACTGACATTGTTCAGAATTGGTATCATTCAGTGGTAAAAAGAAAAATAGACAACTTTTCATTGGCTATTATAAATGTAAAATCCTCCAGTCAATGCACCCCTTCTTGCCTACACCAGAGCCCTCCACTGCTACTTCCCCTCCGCTGCTACATCCTGCAGTGATGGAGCTGGCCTTTCCAGCATTTTAAGAACTCTCTTTATCCCCCTTACTTGCTGGGCCCCATGTCTTCACTATAAATGGTTTACTCAGTCATTTTTTGGAAGCGGTTCCTCTAGTAGTTCCCTGAAAATGGGTGCATGGAGAGAGGCAGGTAAAATTTTTACTCACTGAATGTCTGAAAACGAAGTTTATTCTACACCTACACATGATTAAGTTTTGGCCGGGTATAGAATTCTATGTTGGAAATAATTTTTTAGTCAACACATTATAATTGTACATATTTGTAGTGACAATTTGATGTTTCAGTACATATATGTGTTGTGTAATGATCAATCAGCATATCCAGCACCTCATACACTTGTCATTTCTTTGTGGCAAGAACATTCGAAAGCCTCTTTTCTAGCCATTGTGTCCTATTCATTGCCTTACTGTAAATGTGTTCAGCAAATAAGCCTTCATTCTTCCCCCTGACTGGGTGAAGCGTGGCTCCCACGCTGCCTGGGAGTAGGGGAAAGAAACTTGTCAGAAGGTCTTTCAGCCAGTGCTCCAACTTCAGCCTTCTCGGTGCCCACCTCAGAGCTACTTATTGCCTACAGTTTGGAGCCTTTCTGGAACTGTGCCACGTGAACTGCCTTGTATCTTGGTTTTCCCACACTTAGTTTATATTCCAGCTCTTTCTCCTCTGCTAAGTCAGTTACCTGTCACTAGTACATCAGTGTTCTAGCTTCTAAGTATTCTCCTTGCCCTTGTATATTGATGCCTTTATTCTTCTTTTGCTGTTACTCAGTGTGGTTTCAAGAGAGAGCAAAGGTAAATACATGTGTTCAATTTTCTATGCTTTTACCTCAACCTGTCTTGTAGATGGAGAAACTGAGGCCCAAGGAAGGCTAATGACTTGCCCCAGGTCATACGGCATAACCAGGTCATAAACAAAGTCTTCAGTTAGGTTCCCAGGCCAATGTTCTTTGTGAAAGAACTAAAAAGGTATGAAAACAGGAGGAATGCAGAAATTCAGCAGGGTGTTTATGTAAGGGGTTGTGTATAAAGAGAGAGTGCTCGTGGGGGTGGCCTAGAGAAAATGGAAAGAGATGGCCAGATAAAAAGGAGGTATTTTTATCCTTGGGTTTTTTGGTCTCTTATGTTTATTGTCTACATAAACAAACCCCTTTCTGTGTTTATCACTATCCTATTGCAAGCCAGATTCTTCACTATTTCTATTCTATACTCTACTCTTTCCCAGCAATATATAGTATTTTTAAAATGTGCTTCTACTCAAATTACCCATATCTTCCAATGCTTGCGCAGACTCCTCATTGCCTCTGGCATAAACTTCAAATCCCCCGCTATTCAGTAATCTTGAACCAGGAAGGGAGAGGGGACGACAAGGAAAAGTAGAAGGAAGAGATGGGAGCCACTTGACAAAAGAAGGGACGGAAAGTATTAGTGACAGGGAAAAGAAGTTAAAGATGACACCAAAGTGATAAGCTTGGGTGGCTGGGGGGAATTGAAACAGCAAAGTCAGAGATGCTGTTGAGCTCGGTTTTAAACATGGTAATGTAGAGAAGGCAGTATGGTGGCCACACAGACACAGACAGGTGTGAAGGAGGTGGCCTTGCCTCCCAGGATTGCTCACGTGCTTGCCAATCCCATGTGATAGCTCCCAGGATCACCAAATCAAAGGGAATCTTTTTGGAGCAGGGACATGAGTGTGTTTAAGTAGTAGAGAAGGAAGAACAAGAGGGGATGGAGTGGATCAATATTTCTAATGTATAAAATGCTCTTTTTTTCTGTCAGAACTGAGGTATACCTAAAACATAATTGCCTGATTCCTGCTGTGATGTTGATAACTATATTAGTTTCTTATTGCTGGTGTGACAGATCACCACAAACTTAGTGCCTTAAAACAAGACAAATTTATAATACTATCTAACAGTTCTGGAGGTCAGAAGTGCAAAATCACTGGGTGAAAGTCATATGTTGGCAGGGCTGGTTCCTTCTGAAGGCTCCAGGGGAGGATATTTTTCTTTGCCTTTTTGGATTCTGCCTTCACTCCTTGGCTTGTGGCCCCTTCCTCCAACTTCCAAGCACATCACCCCAACCTCTGGTTCCATTGTCAAATCTCCTTTTTCTGACTTTGACCCTGTTTCCTCCCTCCTATAAAGACCCTTGTTATTACCCACCTGGATAATGCAAGGCCATCTTACCTATCTCAAGATCCTTAAATTAATCACATCTGCAAAGGTTTATTCTGCCATGTAAAGTAATATATTTATCACTTCTGCGGATTAGGACATGCGTATTTGGGGGAGGGGACCATTATTCCACCTACCACACTTTCTGATAGTGCTCATGACCCTCCGTTCTTGTCAAGATATGATCTCTATATGTATTGATACTAATGAATGTGAATAAGTGAATAAATGAATGAAGACCTTTCAGTGATTGAACACATATTTATTATTTGGTCCATTATGTGCTTGGTCATGTTTTAGACTATTTTCAGAGGATATCTAGGAAACTAGTGCTTATTCTACAAACTTGACCCTGCTTGGTCGCAAAGTAAATTCTCTGTCATATTAAAATGGCTGCGAGTTCATTGATTAGCATGGACTTAAAGATCAGAGGAGAGAAGAAGGCAAGCCTGTGTTTATCATTCTTGTTTAAAGAATTTAACTGCAATAAAAATAAATAGGAAAAGAAAGACATAGACGATCAATGGATCCTGGTCATGGCTAGGCACTGACCCCTTAGAGCCACTCGCCTTAGCCTCCTTTGCCTGAGCTGACTGGTTCATGGCTTGTGTTGGGATGCACACAATACTATTTCCAGGAAAGGGCCTCCCAATCTTCGGGTAGGAGGGTGGGGATGGGGGAGGTTCTGTCATGTGACTTTGTAAGCCCTGTACACAGAAGCCCAGAGTGCATGCCTCACAGTTGGCTGTGTCATGGGACCCTTCCAAAGGCACCTCTGGGATCACTGTTGTATTTGGAAACTTCCTGGTTCCATCCCCGTAGTACCTCTTTAGAATATGCTGCACCAGGTTGTTCAGAATCCTCGTGGTGCTCTCTGGGGAGAATTCAGGCATCTCATATTGGGACCAGGTACACTTCTGGCACCTCTGAGCAAAGAGTCGCATAACCACCTGGCCCTGGTCCGTCCGGCGTTCCCAGTATGTGTGGCACAGAATCTGCACTCGGGCGGAAGCCCAACTTCGGCAGCATAAGGAACACTGGAACCTGCAGTCAGAGGGAAAATGCCCATTGTGTCCTCAACTGATTGTTAATCTGAGGGAAAACAGTCCTGCATCATCTCTAAGACCCCTTTTAATTCAGAAAAGTTCACGTAATTTGGATTGTCCCAGTCATTGACAAACAGGAACAAGGGAGATCGTGTTTCAGATAAAACTTTTTCCTGTGACTCACTGAGCTTCTACCCATATGTGGTCCCCAAGTCTACCTTTTTGCTAGTAAAACATCTTTAGATGTCTCAGAGGGGAAATAATTTCTGTCTTCTGCCAGAGAAATGTGTTCCTCATTATGGTCACAGAAAACTTTGATAAAGTACCTGTCACGAGGCAGGCACCGCAATAGGTGCTTTACAATGTTATCCCATTTCACCTTTAAAGCATTCCTATGAAGAAAGCATTGTTGAACCCAATATCCAGATAAGAAAACCGAGTCATAACAAGGACACACAGGGTAAGTGATAGAGGTATGTTTCTAATCTCAGGCATTCGAAATCAACCTTATTTACCTGTTATACCACATTATCTCTAATGAGCAACATGTCTAGTCTTGCACCTGGAGAAACAGACTCGGACCTGGAGCCCTAATACTTGAGTTGAAGATCCAAGTCCATAGTTTTCATCAGGGGGACCCTGCGTAAGGCACTTTCCTTCTGTAAGCTTCAGTTTTTACATCCATAAAATAACATTCAAGGGTTTTTTTGTCAGCATCAAATGAGACAATGTGTAAGAAAACACTTATAAAACTCAAAATGCTTTTCAAAAGCTGATATTTTCCAAAAGTATGTTGGTAGATTGGTAGATCCTATCTCAACATGACTATCAAATTAATTCATCTGAACTGGAGAAACATCTTCCTGTTTGGGGGTGGGGGGTGGGCCAAAATGAAAAAATTTACATCACGAGTCCCTCAAAGAGCTCTGGCTGGTGTGGACAGAAATACAACTCACTGGATCACAAAGCAGAACAAAATGACTGCTATATAGAGTCTGGCACGTGGCTTGAAAACTGTTCTGTAGAGCCTTAGGAGGCTTTATTTAAGCAATGGATTCTGTAGCTAAAAATAAATATATACTGTATTTTATATAATATGGAATATAGAAATATATTATTTATAAATGCATTATTTTAAAATATAATGCATATTTATATATAATTATATATACATATATGCATATTCTACAGTTTTTTATCTTATCATTATGGGGTAAGATTGTCCCATTATCTTATGAGAATGTAGAAGGAACATTTACTCTGCCCAGGAAGACCAGGGAATGCTTTTAAGAGGAGGTGGCACTTGAGTGGTCCTTGAAGAATAAGTAGGTAGAAAATGAGGAAAGGGCCTGCCAAACAGGCAGGGAACCATAAGGAAGGGTGCGGAAGTCTGACAACGCATGGCATGGCTAATAGTCTGTAAAGAATGGCCTATCAGGGAGCAGGGTGTGCCTGAGGTGGGATAGGGGCAGGCAGGCAAGCAGGGTAATAGATTACACGAAAAGTAGACTGAAGGCCCTGTGTGCCATATAAAAACAGGGGACTTGATTATCCAGGTCAGGAGTCCTCACCCTCCTAACATGGGCAAGGAAGCTGGTTCCTGCAACCTGGAGGCTTGCTGGGGATTAAAGAGGGAGAGGGCCAATAAGGGAGGGGTTACTTGGGAACTTCAGGAACGAGGTTTTCAATTTAGTTTTTACAGCATCATTCTCTCCTAGTTTCCTCAGGCCTTCAGTAAAGTAATGTTCAGAGTGACTGCTTGATCTTAGCCAGTTCTTACGGCATTAAAGGAAGGACCCAGTCCCAGGCTTGGACTGAACAGGGCCAGGGCTTGGAGAGCTGCTGCAGCCTGGGGAAGTCTGTTAGCACTGATAGGGAGACTGCAGGAGACTCTAGAAGGTAGTCCAGAACAAATGGGATGGCAAGAGAATAGAAGGGCAGATTTCTGGAACATGGAGGAGTTCTTCAGGGTTTTCCAGAAATATTTAGGGAGGGAAACATAGGAAAAGAAGAAACTTCCTGTAGTTAAACAAGAGGGAGGCTGGAGTTTTATCATTTAGACACTAAAGAGCACTGTGACCACAAAAGGACGGGGAGCCTGGTGACATTTATTCTTTTCAACAAGCTCTCAAAAGAATAAATAATGCTAAGCTGAGCCTCTCTGCTCAGAAGGTCTACTGCTGGGGAAACCCACGCTCACCAGCCAAAGGCTCGCTGTTGGTACTGCTTCCATCCCGGGGCCACGCAGTCCAGCTGAAGGTCCCCATCCAACTTCAGGGTCTACTTGGCCAGGGGTTTCACCTCCCGGATCAGTTCTTGAAATGTCTGCTCCCACGTCCAGATATCCAAAACCATTTTCTTCTGAGGCTGAATCAGAGTTCAGTGAGTACCTTTCAGTGTTGCTGGATTCCCAGCTAGAGAAACACAGTTTCAGTTTCCGTGTTCAGTTCAGTTTCAGTTTCTCTGTTCAGTTAAGTTTCAGTTTCTATGTCTGGACATGAGCTGTTTTATAGCCTTCATTTTAGACTGTTTAGATATACAGAACAAATCTTTGTTCCGAAGACAGAGAGCAGCAGAATTTTGTTCGTTTGAACAGGCCTTGCTGAGAGAAATGTCTGAGTACAGAGCTCTATTCTAGATTCTGGGGTGACATGTAAATTAGCTTTCAGTTTCTTTACCTCTCACTTTTATAACAGGCAAAGCACTACATGCAGCACTGGGATAAAGGAGTATCTTGTGTCTAAGGAACAGTTCCTACCCCCGCAGATGCTCATACCCTGGTGGAGACATGGGCGGTGAGGGTGTTCGACATTCATTTCACGCACATGATGATTCCTCACCGCAGTCCCCTAAGGCGGAATTATTCCTGGTATTTTGCAGGTGAACTGCACAGAGAGCTGAGGTACCTTGCCCAAAGCCACCCAACTAGAGTAAGCAGTAGAGGTGAGACTTGTGAATCTCAGTCTGTGTGGATCCAAAAGCTGCAATGTCTCCACTCACCCCACTGCTTGAGAAGAGCTGAGAATGGTATTTCAGGTTCCAGGCTAGCACACTGGAGCCATCTTGAAACCCTGAACTAGTGGTTTTTGTCTAGGGAGATTTCCTGGGTCCTGGGGGAGGAGAATAGCTGCATGAAGGGATTATTTAACTCTGCCATTCACTATGTAAATTATCCAGAAGGTCAGTGTACATGCAGATGTGGAAGCCGTCTTTCAGTGGTAGGATAGAGAGAATTCCTATTCTGGGGTGAGGAGTTTGGACTAAATGATCCTTAAAGACACTTCTAAGTCAAAGAGTTTGGGATTCTAGAATGTAAGCTTTGTCCCCTGGGGTTTAAATTCACATAAGGGAAATAGGACAAGCAGGACGCTTATGTCTTTGGAAGCCCCACTATAGCTTCTGTGTCTAAGACAGGATCAGCCCAGCTTTCAGCTGTCTGGAAGCTCTCTGAACCCTGTCTTTTTGGGCTTTTATGGAGGTTTCATTATGTAGGCATGATTTATTAAACCATGGACCATTAGTGATCAGCTCAACCTTCAGCCTCTCTCCCCGCAGTGTCACCTGGACATTGTAGGGTGAGGCTAAAAGTCCCAACTCTTTGATCATGGCTTGATCTTTCTAGTGACCAGCCCCATCCTAAGGCTACCTAGAGGCTGCCAGCCTTCAATCAGCCATTAGCACACAAAAGTGGAGATTCTAAGGATTTTAGGAGTTGTAATCCAGGAAACAGGGTCAAAGACCAAATATATGTTTTACAATATCACAGGTAGGCTTTGAGATTTGAGAGCCTGGAAGAAGCCCACTACCTTCCCCACCACCAAAAAGGAATAGAAAAATAAAGACAAGAAAAAGAAGAAAATTTTGGCCCCTTTTACAACCACACAATGTATTTAAACTACTTTCATTTTTTGTATTGAGGCATGGTAACTCCAGGATCATGGAATTGTGGAACTTGGTAGTTGGAAGGGACTTAGATATTATCTTGTTATCCTCCTCCCATCTCACTGAGACCCAGTGAGAGAAAATGACTTACCCAAATCGCACAGTGTGATAATGGTAACCTTCAGGCTTTCATCGACTGTTGGGGCCTTATCATAGATTGGTTAATACCCATCCAAAGCATCTGACAAAAATAAATAAATAAATAAATAGATTGGTTAAAAAATTGCTGAGAGACAGCTGGAAAATAGGAAGAATCCCCAAAGGGAAAAAAGCACAGATCAATTCTGAAAAAGAAGGGCATAGAAAAATTTAGATTTTTGACAGCTCAGAGCTGAAATGAATGGATCAGCTAATCCTAGAATGGCAAGTAACATCCTTCCCCTGTTCTTGCCCAAGACCGACATTGGCGACCAATCCTCACAACTTTCTCTCAGGGTTTGGGTGTACCTTCAGAGTCCCTCTCATCACAATGTTCTAGGCAGCCACTACCAACTGACTGGTAGATGAAATAACATTTTTGCCAGTCCTGCAATAGTCCAACTCTCTTACTTTACAAGTTGCAGGAACTGAAGCCAAGATAGATCTGGTTTAACCAAGGCTTAAATTTAGTTTTTTTAATCTTAGGTATGCCTCCATTTTTGGAAAGTCACATGACTCATCACAAATAGGGCTAGCACAAAGCTTAACACAAATAAATGTGCTCTTCTTGAGGACATTTTAGGCTTGGAAAGAAAGGAGGCTAGACATGAGGGATAAGGATTTATGGATATTGGAGTGAAAAAGGAGATGGAGGCCCTGTCTATGGAACTTGGCTGGCAAGGCCAGCTCTTCCCCCAGAACACATGTCCAACCTCTGTCTCGATGGCCGACTATCCTATAAAAGATATAACAAGAAGTAAAACAAAGTGTTATAACAATGAAAGGGAAGTTTAACATAACTAGCTCCATTTTGCTTTTGACCCACTGCGGTAATATCCTTTAGTTTAAAAGCTTCTGCTTATCTCTGCACATAGGCTAGAAGAAAGGGGACAACCATCCCTTTTCCAAAACTAACTCCTGGGGAGATAGGGAAAGTATACACACAAGTATCAACACTACATGAAAGGTTTTTAGGAGCATTCTGATCTTCATCCTCCATAGTTAACTGATCAAGAGCAAAGAAGTTTTACAACCTCCTCAGACCCTCACTGACGCCCAGATGTCTGTGGTCCTCAGTTACCCCTTGCAACCCAACTCCCTTACCCCTTCCTTTAAGACAAAAAGGAGCCTAAAATTCATACTAATTTAAGATGATTCTTTGGGATATAGTTTACCATCTTCTCAGTTTGCTGGCTTTCCTTGTCCCAACACCTTGCCTCTTGACTTATTGGCTGGGCTGCAGCGAGTGGTACGAGCTGGACCTCCGTTACAGGATGACATCTGGAGCCACCTGCTGCTCAGGCCCAGGGGCTAAGCCTGCTAAGAAAACCGATAGTGACCAGGTTTATTCTGCCCACATGCAACAAGACAATAACTGTGGTGATGGGTTTTGCAAAAGAAAAAAAGATTTTATTTACAAGGCTACCATGTGAAGAGACAGAAGAACAAATCTCAAATCTACTTCTGCAAAAATAGGGGCTGGGATAGAAAGTGTGATGGTCTAAAGTATAGAGAAAGGTGATTGGCAGGTAGGAAAAATGAGTTAATCAGGATTTCTGTGCAGGTATAATCAAGCTCCATGTCTCCTCAAAGGACCCTTATGTGGAAAATGGCATTGTTAGGATGATCTGAGGGTGGAGTTTTTGACCCTCTGACATCAAAAGGTCACTCTGCAGGCACCCACATAGGCCCATTTGAAGGGTTGGTGGTCTCAACTGGCCTGAACTGGACAAAAGTTGCCCCCTAGTTCCTGAAAAATCACTATAAGCACCTATTACTATAGTGCCTCACAGTCAGAGATGTTATCAATAAGAAAGCTAATAGGAGTTTACTTCTGTATTGTTTGGATAGTGACTTAGTAGTGGGAGTTTCAAGATCAACTAGAAAAGTAAGAGATTAAAAGCGAGCAAGGCAGGTTGAGTTTAATCAAGCTTAATCAAGTTAGCCTTCAGTTCCAAAACCATTCAAAAGAGCAAAGATCATACTAAAAAAAACCTCGGAGAAAGAACCAGAAAAAATGTGTAAAATCAAAAAAACTAAAACAAAAATGTACAAGTTTTCAAGGAGGGGGGAGTTTGTTTCCCAACGTCTGTGAAAACCTGCTTGGCCTCAGGCCTCTCGAGGTCCATTGCTGCGATGTTGGGGTTTGCCTCGATAGACAACCATTTGGATATTTTTTGGTAGAGAGAACTTCCACGAGCTTGAAGAAAGCTGAGCCCCAGAGAGGAGAGGTGACCAGCACAGAGCTGCTCAGCTAGTCAAGGCCACTGACGCCCATTCTTGACAGCCACTTCCTCTTTTTCAGCACAGGTGATCCTTTAACCAGTGGCAGAATTATCCATGCTCTGTTCCGAGGCTGTGGTGAACATGTGCCCTACAGAAAGAAGCAGGGTCTTTAACCACCTCCACACTAAGCCAGTGTCAGGAGACAAGTAGCTCAAAACTATACCCTTTAATGAGCTTTCCTCCTGTCCTGACTCACTTTACCAAACCCTCTCTCCTGTCTCCAGGGATCACTTCCCAAATTAACTGTTGAACCAAGTTCTTCTCTCAGGCTCTGCTTTTAGAAGAACCTCAACTAAAACAAAGAGCAATTCATTTTATTTTTCTTCGTTTTCTTCTCATGTATAAAACAGTCAGTTTATAGCACTATTGTAAATCACTTGGAAGTCATCACTCTCATCCTCATAAGCAAGAGAAAAACTGAACAAACTGAAAATCAACATATTTTGTTAAATCCATCAGAGAATTGAGGTCACAGGGAAGACTGCCACCCTGAAAACCAGAGAGACAGATGGGTGAGTACTGGGAATCACACCTTACCAGAGCCAAAGCCCAGGAACAGAAGCCCAAAGCTGGAACTACTTACTGGTAGGGTAGGAACACTTTAAACTATAATTGGTGATTGCTGGAAGCTCAGTCAAAATAAGCATGAGAATTAGAAGCTGCAGGGGGCTCAGTTTTAAGGGGGTGGGTTCCTTCCATGAGTTTTACCTCCAGAAGCCCCGCCAGGTTGTCACTGTGAAGATGGAGAAAAATCTTCTTGTGCTTCTAGTAGGGAAGGAGAAAAATAACCATTTTTTGAAATACCAGATCCCTGTGTTCTCCCTAACACTGTCTGCCCTCAAGGGAATTTTCAACAGAGCATTACAGACTTGAGTTCATCAAAGCCTGACCAACCTGAGAGAAGGAAAATATCCAATGCCGGCCCTCTCTAGTCTCAATGTTGAGGTGGGAACTAGCCCCCTTTTTCCCACATGTGGCTTCCTTTCTGCATGGCAATGAGCACAAAGCCCACCACACTTGCAGTGACAGGAGA